AAACTTAGCGCCACGTGGAGCGGAGGCCGGGCGGGGCTGGGGCGGGAGGGAAAGGGGGTCTCGGGATTGGGAGCAGGGAAGGGGGTGCCTGCGAGACACAGAGACGGAGGCCCAGGAGGACAGAGGTGGAGGAAGACGGCAGAGACGTGGGAAGAAAGGGAATGCAGCCGGCGAGAGAAACACAGAAGGGAAAAAAGGAGGAAGGAAATGTACGAAGAGGCGAGAAAGAATGATTGCCCCCCCCAGCTGAAAGGGAAGAGGAGGGAACAAATTCCCGACCCTGTTCTTCCCGCCCCCCTTTCGGTTTTGGCGGGGAACCTGCAGGCGGAGGTGAGGGTGCTTTGAAACCTCCCTTCTGACCCCACGCGTACACCCAGAAATCTGGAGGGGGTCCAAGTAGGGAATTAGGAGATGGAGGCTATGGAGTCATCGGAGGAACCAGCTCCCCCCATACACACACACATTCGCCCCGATCTGGGGCAGGGGAGTGTCTGTCTACCGCGCAAATCCACTGAATTCTGTGCCTGGCTGCAGCCGTTTACTCCCACTCAGACCCGGAGATGAGAGGTCACCAAGGGAAGATGGCCCTGGTCCTACCTCCCTGCACACCCACTGCATTCTGCACAGTGGGATTCAAGGTAAGGTCTGGAAGGGAGGCCTGGCAGTCAAGCATGCCCCTTAGGCTGGTGGGGTGTGCACTTCTATCTAAGAGCAGACGGGGTGTCTGGCCCACTCACCCAGCCTTGGCTCCCACCTCCGTGCTCTGTGCACTTAAAATATTTTACCTTTTGCTTAGAGTACTGTGCCAATGCTCAAGTAAACATTATTAACAGGGAGAATGGAGCTGTGAGGGGGACTGCTTAGCCCAAAGTCACCCACATCCTACCTGTGACAGAGCTGGCCCAGAACAATGATCTCACTTGGACTGCTCCACCCTCCTGTGTACACCCTGAGCCGGGAAACTCCCTCTCTCCCCACAAGCACACTCCAAGATGAGGCGGCAGCTCCACTTCCCACAAGTGTGCTGGGGTTCTTCCATCACCTGACTTCATCCAGATGGAGCCAGGCTCCAGCAAGAACCAAAACAGAAGAATCAGGAAATCCAGGGGTCACAGTTGGGGAGGCTTGTGAGTTGTAATTTAAAAATATATATATAATCAACTTAACAGGCTTCAAAAGTTGTTCAAAGGAAGGTTTTTGCTCTCAGAATTTTATAAGTGGAGTATTTTAAAGCAGAAATACACAAAAACCCAATTCAGCCCCACACAGCCACTAAGCTCCCATTCTGCCACTGCAACGCTCTGGAAGGGAGTCATCCTGGGAACCATCCCTCCCACCCCAGAAGAGAGACCGGACCTTCCACAGCCTCCTCTGGAGCTCAACTCAATTGCCACCAGACCTGGGCCAACTGCATGCCTGCTCTGAGTCCACCAGCCTCCCAGACCTGGCTGGAAAACCGCAAAATTCCCCAAGACCTGGTGTACACGAGCTGTAAAAGCCGTAGGTCCCTGACGCTTCATTGAAAGTGAGTTTATTATGGCGGAGACAATAGGTCTCTATCCACAGAATGCAACCGCCAAGATGCCGCGGCCACTGGAAATGCACCAGAAGTATACCAGCCGGGTCCTCCCGCTCCCAATGTCAGTGAAATGTGCCAGAAATAAACCAGCCTCTGCAGAATGTACAAGCCCAAGGCGCTGGCTCCCTACCAACACACCGATGTCCACCCGGTGACCCATGCTTCAGCCCCTGCTTCTGAGTGACAGTGTGCACTGCAATCACCCACTGAGCTCAAGCTCAGTTATGATATACTTGCTCCCTCTAATTAATTTCTCAGCTCCCATAATAGGAGTGGGTTTCTGGAAGACAATGGGAGTACATATTCCAGATGAATTGACCCTGGCCCCAAATGCCCTCTCCAGACCTCTATAAATATCCATATCTGCAAAGCTCTCTTTTAGAGATAGAGAGACAAAGAGGGAGAAACAGACACATATATGCTTGGCCCCTGGGGTCTATGGGGGACCTCGCTCAACCCCTCCTCTACTTGAGAAAAATCCCAAGAGTTCTTCTGCAACCAGAATCACCCCAGCCAGAGGCCTGTGCTCCAAGGAAGCCACCAGAGAACCCACCAGCACCGACAGTTGTCAGTGACTAAACAGCATCACTTGGCTTCAGTTAAGGTGATAAATAGGAAAGCCTGAGTGATTTTGTTTTCATTCGGGGATAATGGAAGATGAGGGAGAAGTTTTCAGACTAAATCGTACTAGAGTATTGGACCACTACGTGCCACTCTCTTTGTCCCAGAGACACAGCTCGCAGCCCCCAACAGCAAATCCTCATCTCCAGCGGCCAGTTGGCCAGAATGTTTCTGTGTGTGCCTGAACAAGACGGGAGACCCCAGGAGAGCCTTCCTGGGGGACCAGCAACAATCTCCAGCTCCTCATCCCCCAATACTGGGCACAGAGAATTTCTTACATGAAAACAGCCTCCACCCTCAGACCCTCCTACACCACCCACACCTGCGCAGCACCCTGGGGGAGCTCCAGGCCAGCACCAGAATGGAACACACCAGTGAAGGGCACCACCATCCCTGTGCCCACAGGAGTGGTGTTCCAGCGGCCTTGCCCTAGGCCTCAGGGCTCAGGTCAGGGCCCACCCCAGTGGGGACTACGCTAGCCAGGAAGGCAGCGGCCTTCTTCCTGCCGGAGCTCCAGGCACAGTCTGTAGCACCCGGATATCCCCGCCCCAAAGTTACCGGCCTTGTGAAATGTCCACAGACCCCAGACTGATCAGAGAGGCCTGGACGATTTAGTCCAGGGCCAAAAATCGAAAGAGTCCTGCTGGAGGCCGCCGAGGCGGGAGAGGCTGTCAGATCCCCATCCACAGCCCTGGTCTGGCCCTCCTCTACCCCCCAATCTGAGACTGGGCTCTCCTCTGTCCTGAGCCTCTCCCGCCCCAGGCCAGAACTCAAGGCCTTCCTGGACACTGTTTCGACCCGCAGCATGCCCCCGCCCAAAGAAAAACTCACCTGGGGCATATTTAAAGAGATTGGCCCCTCTGAATTGGATCTCCACTCCTCCGCCGGAGAGGGGCAGAGGCTGAGGTCGTGGCTGTGGACCCGAGTCTTTGCTCGCCCCCTCTTTCGCTGAGAGGCCTGCAGTTAGGCTGTGGTGCAGTCCTGGGCGGTCTGCCGCGCCCAGAGCGAGTTTCCAGGAAAGATGGGGGTGGAGAGAAAGAGGGAGGGCGACAGGGAGGGAGAGAGAGATGGGGGGGTCAATGGCTGG